GGGAGTTGAAGTCCACTCATCTTAAAGTGGCCAAGTTTGGACAACACTGCTCTAGACAAACCGATGGGATTGACCGCGGTTGAGGTTGCAAATGAAGAGCGCGAGATAAAAACGGATGTAATAAAAAAGAATTTCACACAATATTCCGCCGCCTTAGGAAACACGTTGCCAGGAGGATTGGTAATTCCAGATGGAGAAATCGGTTCCGTTTGCTTTTTAACGCAAACTCGGCCAACGGACTTTCCAACCATGACTTAGAGCAACGTTCCAAGATGTGCAACATTCATACTTTTCCAAACATTGCAGCATACTTAGCTACTCAAAAAAATGCACACGGAAATTAGGAGAAACCTGGTCAAAAAGGCAGAACTGTTACACACGAAGTGCAGAAAACTTGCATCTTAGGAGAAATGCGTGTGAAAATGCATCCGGATTCTTGGGCTGACTTTTAGGGAGTGTGGAAAAAAGTAACAAACTCCCCATTTTTCAGTTGTGGTGTGAGGAAGATTCCCCTTCACGCCACTCACTAGGGAGACCTGGGAGGTCCAAACCAAACAAATTCAAGCTCTTGGTGTTAAAAAAAGTCCAAAAAGAGTAAATCCACTTGGGCTGCAACCTTATTTTGCAAAGGTATCATTCAGCTGCGCACAATAAGCAGTTAAGTATTTTTTTTTTCAGTCCTCCAGTAAAAACGACGTTACAGAAAGGGGGCAAATTTAAACTGAGCACAAGGACGCAACTACTCTGGTTGCTGTGACTTGATGCTATCAAAGGAAGACATTGTTTCAGGTAAACATAATGGGCGTTCTGAGCAAACCAAAATAGTCTGTGCGCTGAAAAAAACCCTGAAGTTGTAAGTAAAGATAAGCTGAAGGTTAAAGTTGTAAGAGTAAGCCACCTTAGAGGGAACATCTGGGCAGAAGGGGCATGTATTCGTACATGCATTCCCCCCCCCCGACGCCCGCTGAGGCCAAGGCATTAAACCACACTGGGAGAAAAGGGTTAGAACAATTTCTACCACAATTTTATTTCAGGAAAAGTGAATGTACAAAATAGTTCCAGGTCTCTTTGTATCTAATCTTCCTCCTCCTCTTCCTCCTCGTCCTGGTTAATCTGGAAATATCGCAATTCGTAACTCTCCTTGCTGTTGGCAACCACACGTAGCCAGTCGCGCAAGTTATTTTTCTTTAGATATTTCTTAGTGAGGTACTTGAGATACCTGGAAAAGAAGTGACAAGCTGAGCAGCAGAGCCAAAAGGCCAGACTGGAGACATGAGGGCGTGGGCCTACTCCCTTATCGTGACGTGATTAATTAGATTTAATATCCTGCCTTTCGTGCGCACAGTGCTATTTTTGCCAACCACCACCCTGTGAGGTAGGTTGGGCTGAGAGAGGAACAGGCCTTAAGTCCCGCAGGGGGCTGTCCTGGCAGAGGGTGGACCTTGGCTTCCCGGTACCAGTCTGACCCCCCTCCCCACTATACCACACTGGCATTCCCGAGGTCCAGGTGGCAGAGATGTGGTGTTCAGGGCCAGGAAGTTCATTATCCCAAGCCACAAAGATGCAACCACAGACTATTATAAAAAAAAAAAAAATACACCCAGCTTCATTTATTCGGAAATTAAGAGAGCACGCCTCCTTCGTGCAATTTCATATTCGTTGGTACAACCAGGTCAAATTCAACAAATTCTGTAGAACCAGATCTGCTTCTAAGCTTGGCCAGGTCTGACTGCAAGCAGAGTCAAGAGGTCTACCGCTTGGAGGTACACTACTCCTGGACAGGTAAGCTCGCGTGGTTTAAGGATGGCCTCCTCTTTCCACTTCAAGTCCAGGGAGTGGTTTGGCCTCCGTTGCCAAACAGCAGTTGAGATTTTAGGGCTGCCAAAACGGACTTGGACGGTCCCCTTCTGTAATTTCAAGGAAGTTTCCAACGTGCCCCTAAACTTGGTGAGATTTCAAAAAAAGAATTCATCTCAGCTGAGGGGCCCAGGAACCTGGTGCTTCGCCCAAGGCAGGACACAAAAGGGCCTCCGCTTCTGCTGACCCTGAGGCTGGTGGCTCCCAAACCACCATCAGAACTACGTTTCTCAGAGCCCGATCTTCTCAGAAAATCCCTCCTTTTTGCCCCACCTCCCTTCTCTGGGGCACCTTCTCCTCTTCTGCCTGACCTCCAACTCGCCAAACCTGCAACTCGCAGAAGAAAGCAGGGCTTCCTGTCTCCTGCCACCGGTCCGGTTGCTGACCAAGGCAGCCGGAGGGGTCCCAACGTCCCTCGCTGCCACCAGGAGGCCCTGGGTGCAGCGCTGCCCACTTACCTCTTGGAAAACGGGACCTCGGAGGTCACCGTGATCTTGCTTTTGCTCCTCTCGATAGTGACTGCTCCTCCACCAAGATTCCCGGCTTTGCCATTCACTTTGATTCGTTCTTGCAAGAACTGTTCCTGGAAGAGGTTGAGGTGGGAGGGTTAGCAGACACAGCCCACGGTCTTCCTTCACCTTTTCCCACTGCCCGTCTCCTCGAGGTGGGGAGACGCTCTGCCCATTGGGGTCCCCACAACCTTGGGAAGGAGAGCCTCCGTCTGGCTCCGAGTCCTACTCAGCGGTCTGAAGTTGGTCCGATCTTAATGAGACATTTGAACTTGGCTTCCCCAAACAGCAATTGAATAGAAACTCCTGGGAATGACAGGAGCTGAAAACACTGGAATAGTTGCTTTAACTACTACACTGCACGCTGGCACCTCATCTCTCTAACAACCAATTTCTTTTAATTTGACAGATTTTTTTTTATGCCTTCGAGTCACTGTTGACTCCTGGCAACTGCCTGGACTAGTCCCTGCAGTTTTCCTGGCAAGATTTCAGAAGTGGCTTGCCATTGCCTGCTTCCCAGGGCTGAGAGAGAGGGACTGGCCCAAGGTCACCCAGTGGGCTTTGTGCCTAGGCGGGACTACAACTCAAGGTCTCCCGGTTCCAGCCTGGTGCTTTAACATTACACCAAGCTGGCTCTCTTAATTTAACAGAGCTGGTCACTAAACCCTCAGTGTAGGCAGTCAAGATAAAAGAACAACATATGTACAGAAATAAAAGCTAATGTTTACTTGCAGGCCCCACTGAAAATATGCCAGTTCCTCCTGTATGCTGTATTTCGTGGAAAGAACAGACTGGAACTAATCACAATCACACTAATGCAGTGTTGTCCAAACTTGGCCACTTTAAGATGAGTGGATTTCAACT